CCCCAAAACCCCAAAACCCCAAAACCCCATCCCTAAAACCCCCATTGAATCCCCAAAAATTCCAAAACACATCAATTCCACCCAATCCTTCCAATTTCCTACCCAAATCCCACATTTATCCACTAATCACTCCAAATTCTCCTCAAGAATCCTCCCTCTAAAAACTATAAGAAAGTTTTGACCCAGTTAATCCTCAACTGTGTGCTTATATAAGAACTGTACTGGATAATTGGGTGAGATAACTGGAATAGGAGTGGGGCTAGTAGCAGAATGGGGTGTAGAGGAGCTTGAGTCTTTTGTGTGTCAGTAGAGGCAGGGTGAGAGGAGATAGAGGAGAGATAGTGTGTCTTAGGGGTTATAAGGCTTGGGGTAAGGGGATTTTGTTATTTGAGTGAGGGGTTTTGGAATGGTTGAAGAGACTTGTTAGTGGGTTGTTCTTTGAGAAATTTTAAGAAAGATTTGTGTTAAATTATTTTAATTAGTTTTTGGGAGTTATAAATGCTGGAAAGAAAGTTTGTCCTTGGGTAGTATTAGGTGCTAGAGAGTGTTGTTTAAGTAGGTGTTATGATGAATAGTGGTGGATTAACATATCCGGATTTCTTTAGTGCCCTTCAGCTTTATTATGGGCAAAATCTTTTGAAAATTGATCGATTTCAAACAAAACAAAATTCTAGATTGTTCTATAATTCTTAGTTCGGAATTTTCGTAAGGTAGAGAGCTAGGAAGGGCCAAACTGCTAAGGTAAACATTCATTTTAGGATCCCTTATCTTAAAATGTTATCAAAGTTCTTAATTGTTTGCTGCCATTGAGTTGCGAATACTCCAAACTTATTTTAAGAAGAATAAAGTTTCTTCTAATATTCAGACATAGAGCTACTCTGGTTGAATAAACAATCAGCAAGAGAGGAGAAATTATAGTTTTTTGTTCAAAATATTAATCTATAAGCTAAGAAGACCTTGTCTATAAGTTATTGCTTTAAAATCTTTTCTCCAAGTAAAGAAATTCAATTTAAAGACTCTTCAAGCATAGCAAGTGTTGCTTGACTCTCTAAAACTTGGATAGGAAAGGAACAGAAGACTGAGAAGCATTGTTGATGTATTGCTCTCTTTGTTATCACAATGAGTCTCTCATAAAGTCTCTATTGCATAAAATCAAATAGATATATCAACATGCTGTTTCATTAGATTGTTTTGAATCCTCCTCAATGGAAAATTCGGTCTTTAAACTCCTAAATTTAACGAAATTTACGAAAAATACAATACTCAATGAAAAGCAAAAGTTTCCGGAAAAGGGGATATTAAGAGTAAAAATGGGGAATTTTAAAATTTGTTCTTAGATCATTTTGTTCGAAAAATTATATCTATCTTTTAGATAATGAGAATGGTCTACACAGTGCTTTGCCTTTCAGATTATTACACTCAAAGATTTCCTCATTATAAGCAAGTTTCTTGCGGTTAATAAAGAAGGTTCTGGAACAATGCAATTCGAGCAATCCTTGGCACTGTCTTATAGAATGTGAAAAAAATGACGACTTCAGGGTTGTTAGTCATAACTTTTGATCTGAGCCTTTCTACAGAGTTTAGAGATAACTCTAAATTACGCCAAAGTGAGCTTAATGTAAAGAGCCCTTCAAGAGCCTTGGCTTTGTTGTCAAGATATATAAAATGAGAAAAATGAGTCTTTCAAAAGCAAAGATGAAGGAATTTTTTTTTTAATTTCAGATTATATCCATTCTAAATTTTCTAAAAAGAGTCTAGGACTGCAAGAAATTTGGCCATTATACTTTTACTCAGTTACTAAGAGGCAATAGCTTAATATCACTCTTAATAATCTTATTTATAATAAAAATTGCCGTAAAAACTCATAGAAATTTCTGGAACACAAACCCAACCCGTTCACCTAAAAACGACTTTGTGAAGATATTCACTTGGAATTCTTGGAAGCTCAATTTTTCTGAAAAATTGAATTATTCAATCACAAAGCTAATAATTAATAAACTCTTAACTTAGAACAAGTGAGATCACTCAAAGTATAAACCTGGTACAGATAAGAAGCATATGCAAAGATTTTTATAAAATTGCTGCAAAACTCTCTTGTCAAGACTTAGCCAGACATTTCCAATATTAAGGAATGTTCTATCCTAAAAGGACCTTCACCCAGGATATGACCAGTTAGATCCAGCTTAGAGGGGTATTTACCATATAATCTTCAATAGGCATTGTCAGAACTCCATCTGGTAGGAGAAGAACAAAATTCAACTGTTGTGATGGAAGTATTCAGATCTTAGATTTTGTTCTAGAAGAATCTATGGTATCGTCTGATTGAGGATATTCTCATGATACAACAAGGAGCCTTGGAGACTAGCATGAAGACTCTAAAATTACCACTAATCTTTGATTATAATTGAGATTAAAAGCTTCCTATGATTATGGCGGTTTGCAAAAGATTCATTGTTCAACTTGGCGTTATGGCAAGGTTAGAAGAGAAACAAAGGATTCTTTGATCGTTTTCACGAAGTCAGAGTTCTCCAGAATATTTATGAATGGAGCTTATATACCTCGGCTATTGCCTTACATTTGAGAGTGTCTGACCAAACATTTGCTTTAATTTTTGTTCTCCATATTTTTGAAAATCCTTCAGAGATGGCAGCCACCATTATATAAGAAATAAAATTTGGATTTTATAATATTAAAAATGAAATTTTCAAACTTTTGCTGAAATACAAACCTCACTATTTTGCCTACCAATGATTACTCGAGCATCATCAAAGAGCTTAGCTTAATATACTGAATGGATGAAATTGATACAGGAGTGGCGTCTCTCCTCAACTACTGCCTCTGCTTTCCTGAGTCAAGCCCAACAAAGTTCCAGAACCTTCTTGAGAATAAAGCAAAAAGGTAAGATATACCTAAAATTTTATTGATAAACTTACTAATTGATGTTTTTTACTAATATGAGATATAGAACAGAAATAGTACAAGAGAAAGAGTGTAACACCAAGAGTATTCCACAGGTACCAGACCAAAGCATTGTTAAAGCAAAATCTCAGGCTAGTTTGTCTGAAGGTGAAGCGATGGCTGAAGAAAGTAAGCAAACAAGGACTCCTGCTCAGGTATTAAAGAAGAGAAAGAGAAGGAATTGTGAATTAGACATCAGGCCAAATCTAATTAAGTTAAGAGAGCATATCCTTAGCAAGCAAGTTGTTGGGTTTGCTTCTAAACCTAAGAAGGCTAAAAGCTCTACTAAAAAGCTCCTCAGAAGAAGATCGAAGTATATTGGAGTATCTAAGAATAATGAAAACTGGCAAGCACTCATTAATGTTGACAAGGTCAAGAACTACATTGGCACATTTGTGGATGAGCTTGAAGCAGCCAAGGTATATGACCTCTACTCAGTAGCTATAAGAGGCGATGAGGCATCCCTCAATTTCGACTATACTGCTGAAGAGATGCTGGAGAGGATCGAATGCTATCTTGAGCACAAATCTGCCTAAATTTTGCTCAATCTCTTCATCTATTTATAATTATCCAAAAGACTATTGTCAAATTATATTCTAGAACCCGGGGTTTTGGGGTTTTGGGGTTTTGGGG